GTTGGAGCGGGCTTGTCGGATTAGAAAAAACTGGCTAACCCAGAAAAAGGCCGACAACACCTCAACCTCTGCTGCTGCCAAACGGTGCGCTTGGGAGTGGTCTCTCCCCCCGCCGCACCCTGCTCCGCGCCAAAACGACCGTCGTCCCACGGAGAAACGAGCATGGTCCCACGAAGAAACGACCATCGTTCCACGAAGAAGCAATCCTTGTCCCGCGAAGAAGCGACACTCATCCCGCGGAGAAGCGACCAGCGTTCGCGTCAGGGTCTTCGTAAACATCCCTCGTGTGGGCCAGTCGATCGAAGGGAAGGGTTGGAGCATGTAGAGACGAGAAAATAGCAAAGCATGCAAAGAAAACACCAAAAAGAACGAACAAATTCGCTAGGTGTTTAAACTTTTTTGGTTTTTGAATATTTTGAATAATATTTTTTGTGGTTTTTGATATTTTTGTTTGTTTTCAAAACGCTACTCGACCAAAAGCGGGGCAAATATATACAATATCTACAAAACTAAACGTATTTACACTGTACATAGTCGGAGAAACGAACCGGCTTACGCACCTCCCGACCACGGCGATTGGTCGTGGGAGCTGGCGGGCTAGATTCGAGAGATCTCGGAACGAATGAAGTACGTAGACCGAGATTGTGGTCTTGTTGAACTGCACTGGGCTTCTGTAAGCTGCTGCGATGAGTTGTGGCGTCGCATGAAGCACTACTAGACGAAGTAGGCGAGGTGGTTTCGTCCATATAGGCGGGTTTTAGATGGTCGATGGTGACGACTTCGCGTCGACCACCGCGGTCAGTTGTGTACGTCTTACTCGCACAGTGTAGCACTTTAAAAGGCCCTACGTACGGCGACTGAAGAAGCTGTCGAACACCGTTTGCACGAAGAAGGCCGTGTGAGCACGCAGACAGCTTCTCAGGCACGTACACTGGTGTCTTCTGCGATCGAGGAGCGGGTGGACGCAGCTCAAGCATCTGGTGAGCAAATCGATCGGTGTAACTTCCGTAGTCAAAATAGGAATGAGAGGGGGCTGGTGCTACTAGCTGTCCGTGCAACTACAGCGTGCAACCGTAGATTAGCTGCGCTGGTGTTGCGTCGAAATCGGTTTTAACAGTGTTTCTTAATCCTAGGAGGACGAGGAGATGTGTTTCAGAACATGAAGGATCTGCGTGCACTGCCTTCAACTGGCGGTGAAAACGCTCCACCATGCCGTTAGCGGCCGAATGACACGCCGTCATCTGAACGTGGCGACAGCCTAAATCCTTAAACCACGTGGCAAATGTTGACGGGAAATGTGTTCCTCGATCAGTGGTCACGATGGAGGTACTGCCGTATTGAGCTACCCAGCGCTCCGGAAAAGTTTTCGCCACCGTTTTCGAGGAGCAATTTTGGATAGGGACGGCCTCAGGCCATCTAGTAAATCGATCGATACAGGTTAGCAGATATACAGAGCCTTTGGAAGGCTGCAGAGGACCTACGAAGTCGACGTACACGTGATGAAAACGTGCGTCTGGCATCGGAAATCTGCCTAATGGGCTTCTCGTGTACTTGTGCACCTTCGCGCGTTGACACGGAAGGCAAGCAGCTGCCCAAGTACGGACGTCCCGATTAACATTGCGCCAAACGAATCGTGCGGTTACGAGTTTAACCGATGCACGAATGCCTGGATGAGACAAGCTGTGCAACGTGTCGAACACGGCCTGCCGAAACTCTCGTGGGACGACTGGGCGCGGCGTGCCCAGAGATAAATTGCAAAGTATAGTGCTGTCTGATGATGTCAGCGGAACGGGTCTTATGTCCAATGAGGGAGACCTGCGTAGTAGACTAACCTCAGGATCATTGTGTTGCGCTTTGGCCATGACTGCCAAGTCGATAGCAGTGCCGCCGTCAGCGGAGATAGCTTGGATGTGGGAACGTACATCGGCGACTGCGTTGTGCACACCTAAGAGCAGCTGAGGGTCAGAAAAGTAAGGGAAACCATAGAATGCGGCTGAAAAGTTGATGTGGTGAACAAGCTCTGCACTCGGACGAGAAGCCGCATCAGCAGCATAAGGCAACTGAGATCGCAGCCCAGGTTCGAAAGCTCTGTTGCAGTAGAAGGCGATAAGGAACCTGCAAAACCAAAATGACGAAATAAAGAAAAAGGAAAGGATGTGATGGTGGCTGGAAGCTGGGGGCAAGGGAACTGCCTGCCTCAGTGTGATCGAGCAGGCGATCAATCGAGTGGGCGGGTGAGTTTTAATATAACAGCTAGTTGTACCTTACCTCAGACTTGTGAACGGAACGCTTGTGTGCCGAGCCGGTGTGAGTTCTTTCCCTTGGTGCGGCTGAGAGAACCAAGCAAGCCACAATTTATTTACTCATAGGGAGTGAATATTCAACTGTAACACATCCACCCATTGGCAGGCATAATTAATATATTATGATAATAAATGAGGAGAGCTATATAAACCACAATCGTCGAAAACATATTTATGGTGCTAATATCAATGAAATATTTTACTAACCAGTTCTTTATTATCATAAACTTTATCGTTTAAATACAGTGCCTGCAAGGAACTACTAATATAAAACTGCCCACTTCTGCAAGCATATAGGTTTGTGGCTCTCTCTGGTCGGGGGTTGATAAGCATTCGGACAAAGCAGCGTGGAGTTGGTGGCTAACATCAGGTAGTATTTTACATGCAAACTTATTACAAGCTTGACATAGTTGAATAAACTGATGTTCACAAATGCTGTCCCTGAAATGCCACTACAACGTGACAGATGTTTTACTGATCAAACAATGAAGTTGTGGTCCTTATTCAGAAGACTAAGAAAGATACCCAGAAGGGAATGGGTCCAGTAGGGCAACACACTTGCAGTGATAAAATGCTGGATTATAAAAAACAGCGTACGGATGAAGAGCTGAGACCTACAACATGGACTGAGAGTTTCATAACTTAGTGAATATTTCGTTTACGTGAAAAGAATAGCATATTTCGTTGTTCAGTGTCACTCCAGGGTATTGTACCGTGGTGGAAAGAGGTCAAACTCTCACCAGTCAATACGAACCTGCGGGCGTTGCTTTACGATTTGCTGATAGCGTATTCCTTTGAACAGCGAAAAACTGACATACTTTCATTTTGAATTATTCAACGGTAGGTAAGTGTATTTAGACCAACCTGTTCTACCGTCCAGGAAGGTTTGCAATTCGACCGGTGAATTTATGTTAAGATGATAGACGCCAATGATTACGTCGTCTGCATACTTCAAAAATATGGTTTCTTTAAAGAGGGGATTGAGGTAACGTAATTGGGAAATAGAAATAGGGGCAAAATGGCTCTCTGAAAAACACAATCAGTCGATGTAGATAAAAGAGTTTTGTCCAAAAACCTCATAAACTTAGCATATTCAGTAAATTAATTCCTCAAAAGAGGAACAACAGCAATTTTAACTCCAGTACAAAAGTCCACGGTTCACATAACCAGAAATGTTATTGAAATCCAGGAATCAGACGCGGATGGATTAGTCATTATTATCCATTGATGAAAGCACGATATGTATCAGATATATTACCACCTCTAAGATGAACTTTAAGCTGGGATATACCAACGCACAGGGATCATGGAAACACATCCGGGTTAAGGCCTTTTTAAGAATAAGGCTCGCAAATGTTTTCAAAATAACCGATGTGCAAGCAATCGGCCAATATTTGCAGGTTCCTTTCTTCGGCACTGCCGTGATGCCTGCGCTTTGTCAGCTATATAGCGTTGTATGAAGTACACGGTGTACAAATCGGTGGGACGCTGTGTCAGCCAATCAGCACACTTCTTGTGATCTACAGGAGATAAATTAACCAGACAAGGTGATTTGTTCCGTTCTAACCTCATTGATTCCCTATGTACGCCTAGGCTGTTCCCAAAAGTTGAGTTAGCTGAAGGTAGTTGTAAGCAAGTAGGTGATATAGTAAAGACTGAAATATTGTTCTGGTCACAAAGGTGTAGGTTTAATTCCACCACATCCGGAGGGGAATGCGGAGCCTCGTGGGTTACTCCGCTTAACTGTCTCGGCATTTTCAATATTTTACGAGGATTATTGTTTCCAAATATGATTTGAACATGGACCTTGTAGAAGCGACGCAACTCGACTTTTACAACAATTGTTTGAGACCTGACTAATAAAACATCTTTGAGTGTAAAAGACTTTTCTTTAAGTCTGCGCAGTCAGTTGAAAGATTGAGACTAGAACCTCCCAGCACTACCGAAAATGGTGTAAGTTTGACAGCAGGTATCGAAATAAAAGTTTAAATAACTAGGTAGCTGATCACAAGGTTATGTCACGTCTGCATTACAAGTGAAACTAAAATCTATAGCAAGTATTTCTATGCAGTTGCTGAATATTCTGTGGAAGGCATTGCTCTCACGCATACTTACGATCATTGCAACGGCTTAGGGTTCATGCTATAGAGAAAGGGAAATAACTTTACGGCGGCATGAACAGAGCTCCCCCCAACCTGGGTAGATTATAAAATCAGAACACTTTCAGATCGTTAAAAAAATACCATGCCATTTATTGCATCTAATCTGGTTAGAGACTGTGCGATACTCTTTAGCTCAAGACTAGCAAAGAATTTGGTATCCGATCAATTAAAATATTAGACAAGAATGTACAATGAGAGTTCCAGGTATTTGGAGGCCGCACATGTCTATCCGTCATGAAAGGCTCCGATTTCAGTGCTGGGACAACTGAGTGAAATGTTGATAATAACCAATAAAGCGAACACTAACTGTTTGGAAGTCTGGGTTTACATTTCAAGATTAAACAGCTGCTGCATTGAAATCTGTAGCGAGAAAACTTTTAATCGTAACGCATCACCAAGAACCAATGCAAATGATAATGCTAGCGCCCCGCTTCCACTGTGACAAATGCCGGCCAACACGATATTTACAATACTGTCTGTTAGCAAAGCAAATTGCAATCACGGCTGTTACCGACTCACTCGGCTTTTATTCCAGGTCGAACGAAATCGGCGATGCTTCCAACGATGACGAAGGCAAAATCGACCTGTATCGCCTGCAGTTTTTCACTCCGGCGGAGCATGTAAGTCGGTGCTGTTTCAAGGTGACATGCATCTTAGAGGACCAAATGAATTCCTTTTAGCCTTTAAGATAAGTGAAATGGATGATATATATATTTGCAAAGGTCTGCAAATAGATATAAAGCCATCAGATACCATGGGATTCAAAAGGCATAGAAATAGTAAAAGAAAACACAATACAACACATCATAGTCCATGATTTCATCAGAGGGCAAGATACTATACGGTTGCCCAAGCCAAAGTAGAGTGTTGACCTAGGGGACACCGCCCCGAGCATTTGGCTGAATAGCCTGCGGAGCGAATTCAGGGAATCGCGCCAATTGAGAGCCGGTGACTGGTTGCTCAGTTCATACGCCTTTCGTTTGTTCCTCTGTCAAACAAGGCCCAATGCTCCCCAGAATTACAGCATAACGCTGCTGGAAAACAATGCTTCGCCAGAATGAAGCAAGAGGCAGTGACTTTATTTAGTGGCGAGTCACGTGCGCCACGTCACAGTGTTGTTAACCGGACATATATGGCTTCTTTTGGGGAGAACGCTTGTCAGTTGAAAACTAACCACGTCCTGGAATACTGTCGCTGGAACTGGAAATCCCGAACCACCCAGCTGGCAACACGAGGAGGTTGTTCGGCAAGCCAGCAAATAATTGATAATAACCACCTATAGCGAATACAAGTGGTTAAGAAAACCTTAAGGAGGCATGTACAGGGGACTACAGCCTATCAGTTGTGCACTGACTTGATATAGTAGCATCATCTGAATGCTTTCTACAGTACAAAGGTTCATTTTCTGTGGCAGAGATACATGCTCATAAGCTCAGATTGTTAAAAATTTACTGCATATGAGATTGCAGTACAATTTCTTAGGTCAAGTTGTTTATTTAGTAGTCGGACTGCTTGCTGATCTCGCTAATCATGCTGCAAACGCTTTGTCACTAATCGAGGCAACATCATCAACGCACTAAGGATGTGTTGTCAGCAGAATTGCTGGACTTAACGAACGATTCAACTATCTGTAGATGATTCGTTTACAGTAACTATGTATACACGGGTTTAAATCCATCGGGTCTAGGCAATAACATAGTTTGGGCGACAGAAGAAGTAAACCAAATGTGTGGGTGATTGTCTCCTCATCTGTGGTACAACACCGCACCAGACACTCAGTAATCTGCTCATGCTTGACAATCCGATAGTACGCCAACTCAACAGTTTTACGCTGTTTGCGTTTGATTACCACAACTGGATGACTGGCAGAGCATTGCTTACCTTTTATATCAGAGTAGAAAAATCGCAAGTAGATCGAGTTAGACTTCTAAGATAGCTATGATTCCTGTGTATAAACAGATCGCTAATTTTCAACCAAGAGGCAATTATGAACTCCAAAATCCAAGTCATTTAACTGGCCACTTCTTTGTCGACAGAACTAATTGAAATGATTGGATATTGCAAATCAGTACCCCACGATAAATTGGCTACCGCACATTCCTGCATTTCGTTGGAAGAAGGTAGCTAGGCTTCAAAGTTGGGAGTGGAGTACCCACCGTGTTATTGAGACCTAAGTTCAATTGAAGCAGTCCTCGGTCATTCCAATCACAGGGATTGTATCCGAAATGGAAGAAAAAACTGAGCTTTGTGTCGCGCGACCGTAGGTCGACTGCTTTGCTTCTCTCGCTGACGCAATTTTAGCAAAAGCACCATATGCTTAGAGTATTTCTCTTTCACTGAACCAAATCGGTAAAATACCAGCCCACTTTGGCCGTTCATTTATATGGCAGAGCTATCGCAGGTTATATGAATGTCTGTTCAGTCAGCATCACTTTGACCACTCAGTTACAGTAACTGTGCTATACCCGGAAATGTATTGGTCATAAGCAACCGGTAGCGGACTTCGAGAATTCATTTTTGCGTAATTTGCTGTGTATGTAACGTAGGTACATCGGGCCTTGCAATATGTGCTCAAATTCCCAGTAAGAGGTGAGCAACAAATAAAACTCATCCGAACAATTACTCATTGAGTTGTGTTGATGTTTTCCGTGTTAATTTCTGTTCGTGTTAAAATTAAGGCTGTCCCCACATTTCAAACTTGCATTTTGTGGGGTAATATAGTCCGAATGGTGTTTTGCTTAGCCGAAGTGCACCGTGTGAAGTAAACTGCAAACAATCAGCCTTCAATCCCTTCACCTGGTTCTACTTCGCGATATGTCAAATTTTCGATCCAGGTACCATCTGAAATCACGATGAAAAGTTTGCTCAACCCGGTTCATCGTTTGGACACAACACTAATGAACAAGGCACGCCGCGTCGAACTGCCCATGATCTGTTCGCAGAAACAAAGTGAGGTAATTACTATTGGAATGAACTGACATCTACCTGCTTACATGTCTTAGGTGACTAACTAATGGTGAAGCATCTGTTGTCACATTTACTTACCTAGTATAACCTACTAGGATGATTGTTTGTTTAAATTCCATAAGCTGGGGGACTTAACTGGAATTAACGCTGGTTAGTGAAAATCAGTGGAAGGCTGTTTCAAGGATATCAGTTTAGTTTCGCACGAGGGGCAGCTGTTTGTAACCTTACACTCTTGGAGCTGTGTCAGCACCTTGCTTTTGAATACAAGCTTAGCGGATTTAAGCTTTACGCTAGAAATACATCTGCCCCTCTCAATACCCAAATTCTAGAGGTTGTTATGGTTATACGGAAGCGAAGCATCTGAACAAATTATTGGTGCGTCGCTGTGGATGAGGTTGGTTATGCGGTACGGAACAACTACTGTGCATTTGCATGATTCGGAATACCTGTGAGAAAGACTATGTAGATCAGACGGGGAGAAAACTATCCACAAGAATACAAGAGCACAAGCTTGCATGTCGATACCATTAGGTATCGTCACAAATCGCAGCGCATCTCCATGAGGAAGGACACAACGTTAACTAGGACAACACAGAAATGCTGTCGCACGGAGGGGCAAGAAAAGGAAGAGAATTCCTCTAGGCATGATTCTCTACGGAGAATTTAGTGAACCTCCGCATTGACCTCGATCCTGTGTACCTACAGCTGAGGATGCGTGAAACTCGGCGGCCAAATATCGAACAAACAGAGGTCATGGGACACAGATCGACGAGGCCAATTTCAAACGCTACGTCCGGACGACACTTTCAGTGAGATTTTCCTCTACGAAGCAGTGCACTGAAGATGCCACTAAGGGAAGTGATGAAACGTTTGTCATTTAAAAACTACTCAACTCGGAGATTGAATCGAAAAGTTAACCCTAGTGTATTTAGTTTTCCACCCTTAACTCCAATTTGCACAACAATATGCTCCGAAGTAAACTTTGGTCCTTTTGATAACTGGAACTGTAATTGGGGGTGAAATTTTCTATCGTTACTCGTTCCCAACATCATCCTACAACAGCCTTCGTATCAGTTCGGACCCATCGGAAATATACAACCGTAATTGGGCGTAGAGACTTTAGTGTAGAGTACACTTTGACCCGTTGATCATGAAACAATGGAACAATAGGTTATTACTATTAAAAAAGCATGTCTCGTGGGATGGAAATTAGTGCGAAAAGTGAATTGCATGCTAAAGTGAAAAGCGGTTTGTTGGACTCACAATAGACTTATGTAGAATAGAGAGGGTGTTCGCGTACTAAAAGTATAGATACATCAACCCATTAGTTGGGAGTTTCGTAAGACCTCGTTTGATTGCGTTTTGTAGCCTCTGGCTAACCATTCGTAAAATGAACTGCAAACGAGACAAAGCGTCGTCGAATCGCTTTTTAAATATCTCCAGATTGGGAACAGAAGCGACATAATTGGGGAGGGCGTTCCAAGCCTGACACACGCGGACGGAAAAGCTTTTTCTACGCCATTTAAACCAGCTATATTGTATTTTCAGTTTCAGGGGATAACCTCTTATGTTAGTGTTGTGGTTCAGTTTCAGCAGTGGACTGCAAACGTGGTTTGGGTTCTTCAGTATCTGGTAAACCATTATGAGATCCCCCGCAAAAGCTGATATCGACTGCTGTAAATGCTTAGAGATTTCAATCTAATCTGATGTAGCAGATGAAAGTGGCTCTGACTTTCTTGGTTGTCATTCTTTGAGGAGCCTGTTTCTGCCACGATTGCCACGCCTGAATAGCATATTCCACGTGCGGTCGCACGTAGGCGTTAAGCGGGAAAGAAGGAAAGCTTGTGGGTTTAAATCGATCGAAGTTTCTGCGAAACAGGCCCAAGTGTTGTTTGACGGTTGTTTTGAACCAATACACCCAGGTCATGCTCCTGAGAAACCTTCTCCAAGGTGTGGTCTCCAAGCATGTAAGTGCTCACCGGCAGATGACGCAAATGTTTCACCTTACACTTAGTTATGTTCAATTGAAGAATGTTCCACTTTGACCGTTCATAAATGTAACCTTGGTCATGTTGGAATAGGTCGTGATCTTCGTTGTTATCAATCGCCCGCCATATCTTGACTTTACTGGCGAAAAGCAAGAAAGTTAAGGAGATAAATCTTGCTGGCTCATTGATAAACACCAGGAATAAGCACGGTCCCAGCATTGAGCTTTGGGGACACTACATTACACCTCAGTCGGGTCAGAGAGTGATCTCTTAGCGTGTACTTGAGGCTTCCGTTGGTGAAGGCAGCTGGCAATCCAACCAAGTACAGGATCTCCGATTTCGTAGCTCTGTAGCCGCTGAAGTAGGATGCGGTGATGCAAGCGGTTGAAGGCTTTGGAAAATTGCAGATAGATAACGTCAACTCCGGCCCCATCATCAGCCACTTCCGTCCAGCTAACTCGTGCAGTCAGTAGGTTGAAGGTGCATGACCGGTGTTGACGAAAACCATGCTGCTCCAGTACTAAGATTTAGCATTTTCCATTTAGTCCGTTAAAGCCACAGCGTTGACTGCTTCCATCACCGCGCGCACAGGGCGGAGAGTCACTTGGCGATGGTTTACAGGATCTGAAAGGCAACCGTCTTTGAAATTTGAGGTGATAATGGCACACTTCTACATAGTGGGGGCTTGTTTTTCATTAAAGCACCTTTGGAAGAACTGGGACAGTGGTTCAGCTAGCTTGGTGGCCACAGCCTTCAGTGCCTTCGGGCGGATGTTGTCTGCTCCCAGAGAACTATGCTCACGCAGTGAGAGTAACTTCCTTAGCACAATTGTTAGGTTGAAGGTTACATTTGTAAACAATGCTTTCGGTAATGTGCTTGATATTATGGGACACACAGAGGCCGCGAGTTTTAAAATTTGGGCGTATTTTAGCCGCAGGGCATTTGCTGCTCCTTCGGGGCTGTGTACTCTACCGCCTATCGTGAAAAGTGGAAGGATTCCATGCTTCACTTTACGGAGACTATTGAGATACCTATACAGGAGTTAGATGTTTGCCAAGAACTTTTGGCTAGGCACTGTTGATAAGTTACTTTGTCCTCAAGGTCAAGTGCAGTGCAATGGTTGCGATGGATCATGAAATTACCCCAAGTGTCTGCTGCATACCTTATCACCAGGCATTTTGAAGTCCTGCTCATTAGAATTGAAGGCATTTTTAAAGTACGAAGTGGGTGGTCTCTGATGCTATGTTGACGATGTCGCCCACTCTATTAACGAACTTTGTCTAAATGTTGTCAAGGGGGCTGTTGTTTAAGAATTGTTAAGCAGCTGCGTCGGCGAGTTCTTTCTGTACCTTGTAACGTGTGATTGTATGAGTTAGTTCCGAGTGTTCAGACAGGTACTCTACATAACACACATAGTTGAACGTTATTACTACATGGTCACTTAGACCTAATGGACGATCCATCAATAACTTGTCAATCATGAGATCTTCATCCGTGAACACAAGATCCAATATGGACGGTTTGTCTGCTGTCCTGAATCTAGTAGGCCTAGTGCATTATTGTACAGGGGAATATTAGCGATCAGTTCATGCAAGTCTGCTTTGAACTACTCACTGGGCAGTGCGGAAACCTTCAGATCGTGAAAATTGAAGTCCCCGGAGATGAGAATGTGGCTGTACTTAGTGCGCGTTTCTCTGTTCACTCCACGTATCAAACGGAAATCCCTTTCCTTAGTGTAGGGTGGGGACGGTAAACGACAGCTACGAGACATGAGTCGTTGTGACTTAGTCGGAGACGGCACCCGAGTGAGTCGGTAACGTGTGTTTCCAGATCATCAACTATTGCACATTGCAGGTCGCTGCCGTAGTACAGTAAGGCCCCACCTCCTCTGCTGGGGCGGTCGTTCCGGATGAGTGACATTCCGGCTATCCCAACCTCAGCATCAGTCACCACTAGGTGCAACCAAGTTTCGGTTATCGAAATCAGGTCCCAAACATTCGCGGCCTGGTATAGTCGAAGTTTGGTAAGTTTACTTAGGAGACTTTGGGTGTTAGTGTACTTGCAAAAAGTTTCTCAGATTTAAGCAATGTTTCTGAGGTTGTACAACTCATACGTGTAGTTTCGTCGACCCGTGAGTAGCCGGCGACTAATCGCCTTTCGATGTGTACTTGGTGTATGGCCTAACGTCTTATTCATCGTCCGTGTAGTTAGTCCCGTGTCTAATCTTCGACGTACAATGTAAAGTGTCTGGTTAATAGCATCTTCCACAGGTTGTATGGGCTCATTCGGCACACTACTGGTGCATTGTTCTCTCATAGATCCCATCGCGTTTGGTTCTTTGAGTGACATATCACCTCTAGGAGCATATCGCTGAGTGTCTTCAGGCGAACCGCAGATGGTAGCTTGCAACGGTACATGTACCAGTTTTTAACATCCGTGCTACCATTTGTTTTGACTAAAGGACCACCATCAACACTCTCTGGCCACTTCCTTTGTAGTTCGGTGAGGTACGCAGTCGTGACACGGATTTCGCTAACACATCATCCAAGCAGAGTGTTTCACGAATATAACATCACTGTTCTTTATCATGGGTTGTTACTTCATGCTCATCACATGCTTCATTTTCAGGAACCCCGTGAAGAAGAATGATTCTGGGTGGCATTTGGTGTACCCGCTGTGTGGTTGGATTATGACTCGCAATCTCTATTCAGACCTCGGTCCTGAGTAGACTTCGATCATTACGATCACAAGGACCGTTACCGAATTGGTGGTTAGGTGCTGTTGGGAGGAGCAACACCCAACCACCAAGAATGGTTCTGGTTTAAGTTTCCTTCCGGTAGTTCTCTAAGGTGCGGTTAAATCGATAGCGCTCGCCCCATGGAATGTCTGGAAAGATACGGATGGAGCAGTGTTCATTTCTGAGACTACCTGTCGACGGTAGTACTGATTCTACTTCAGTGATGGAGTTCCGCACAACACGCAGAAGCCTTGGCTCTCCA